ATCTGTATAGTTTTGAACCCAATTGAATGCCTTTTTTAATTTTCTATAAGGGTGAAATTTATCAATAAATCTCCGATGCCCCATGTATACAGTCTTTCTACCATGATCCAGTTGATGATAACAGGTATTATCTTCACATATGGGGCATGCCTTATGACCTTTGACACTATATCCAGACAAGTTACCATAAGCTGGAAAGTCATTGATTGTGCAAAAAAGCATTGCATGCAACTTAAAAGTCTCCTTCCGGTATGCGTCAAACACTAACACACCTTCATCCCATAATTGCTTCAAGTCATCAATCAAAGGCGCCAAAAAAACATCTATATCATTACCTGGTTGTTTTGGCCCAGAAATCATCAAGCTTAATAATATGTATTTGCGTTTCATACACAACCACGGGGGTAGATTATAAATTATCAACATAACTGGCCACGAGCTATGCTTGCTACTTAGGTTCCCGTGAGGGTTAATACCATCAGTACAAAGTCCAAGTCTAAGATTTCTCGACTCGTGGCCAAATTCAGGAAATGCATTATCGAATGTTATCCATTGAGAAGAATTAGCCAGGTGTCGAAGCTTGCCATCGGAAATTCTTTCATCTGCATGCCATGATAAGTTCTTCGCATCGCTTGGATTTGCAAACATGCGCTTAAATCTTGGAAGAATTGGGAGATACCACAAAACTTTAGCTGGTAGACTTTTCAAACGTACTTTACCACTCTCTCTTGTTTTATAACGAGATGCCCCGCATATTGGACATGCATGCAAGTCTTTGTAATCATTCCTAAACAATATGCAATCGTTAGGGCAAGCATGTATTTTTTTGTATCCCATACCCATGGGACACAACATCTTTTTGGCATCATATGTACTCTTGGGAAGTTCATTAGCATCTGGAAGCATATCATTGACTATTTTAAGTAAAGCAGTAAAGCTCTTGTCGCTCCACCCATTCCCAGCTTTCAAGTTGAATAATTTTAATACAGCAGATAATCTGGTATATTTACTACACCCTGGCCATAAAGATTGTTTTGAATCATTCAATAATTCATCCAACTCATTTGACTGATTGGTAAACTCTTCTCCAACATCGCGAAACATTTCATCCAACCGATCTTCAGACTCATCATCTTCATTGTCAACATACATGTTAGATGTTGTAGCCACATCGCTTTCACCGTGCCAAATCCATTGTGTATAATATGGATTAATCCCATTAACAATTAGATCATCATATATGTCTTCTTCACCTAACCTTTTCTGATTACAACATTTCGTACAAGGACAGAAGAACCTCTTATTACTATTCGGAAGGTTATTATTTGCAAACTGTAAAAAATTTCTAACTCCATCTTCATATTCCTGACTAAGTCGATTAGCTTTCATCCAACTTTTATCCATCACAAGCCAATCTAAAATAATAATAACCTAGTTAAACATTTGTTAACAACATTTTAACAAATTTATATAATTATAACTACTACAACAACTACACTATATTCATTTCGGCCAATTAGTATTACATTTTTCTCACAACATTTTAAGTTAAATTATTTGGTAAGTTATATACTTGAAAAAGGCAAATTATGGACCAAGATTCACCTAGCATGGTGGGCCTTGGTCCAAAACAACATCATTTTATATTAAGTATCAACTAGTGCAATATATTCAATAACATCATCATGTATTATAGACCTTAAATTATTTGGTAAGTTATATACTTGAAAAAGGCAAATTATGGACCAAGATTCACCTAGCATGGTGGGCCTTGGTCCAAAACAACATAATTTTATATTAAGTATCAACTAGTGCAATATATTCAATAACATCATCATGTATTATACACCTTAAATTATTTGGTAAGTTATATACTTGAAAAAGGCAAATTATGGACCAAGATTAACCTAGCATGGTGGGCCTTGGTCCAAAACAACATCATTTTATATTACGTATCAACTAGTGCAATATATTCAATAACATCATCATGTATTATACACTTAGCTTGTTCACTTAAATTATTTGGTAAGTTATATACTTGAAAAAGGAAATTATGGACCAAGATTCACCTAGCATGGTGGGCCTTGGTCCAAAACAACATCATTTTATATTAAGTATCAACTAGTGCAATATATTCAATAACATCATCATGTATTATACACTTAGCTTGTTCACTTAAATTATTTGGTAAGTTATATACTTGAAAAAGGCAAATTATGGACCAAGATTCACCTAGCATGGTGGGCCTTGGTCCAAAACAACATCATTTTATATTAAGTATCAACTAGTGCAATATATTCAATAACATCATCATGTATTATACACTTAGCTTGTTTACTTAAATTATTTGGTAAGTTATATACTTGAAAAAGGCAAATTATGGACCAAGATTCCCCTAGCAAGCTAACATATATATATATACACGTACGTACCTTGCAGGAGAGGCGGCGAGCGGCGACGACGTAGGGCGACGGCGAGGACGACGGCTTAGGGCGACAGCGAGCGAGGCCGAGGCTGAAGACGACGGCACTGTTGCGAGCGAGGCCGAGGACGAAGTCGACGTGCGGCGAGCGAGGCCGAGGACGACGGCTTAGGCGACGGTGGAGAGCATCGGTGGCGTAGGGCGTTCGGCGGCGGTGGGAGTTTGGAGCAGATGAGTGAGGAGTGAAATGTTGAGTGTGAAATGTTGAGTGAGGAGTTTGGGCGCCGATCTGAAATGTTCTAGCTTCATTATTTATTTTTTTTTTTAAATTTAAGTATACGGCGTCGGCGTTATACGTCGCCGACGCCGTATACCATTTTAATATTTTTTTTTAATTATTGGAGATACGACGTCGGAGATTAATTCTCCGACGCCGTATCTACTATTTATTTTTTATTTTTTTTAAAAATATCCGAGTATACGGCGTCGGCGATATACGTCGCCGACGCCGTATACCATTTTAATTTTTTTTTTAATTATTCGATACGGCGTCGGAGATTTAACTCCGACGCCGTATCTCCTATTTATTATTTCTTTTTTTTTAATTTGAGTATACGGCGTCGGCGTTATACGTCGCTGACGCCGTATACCATTTTTTTTTTAATTATTAGAGATACGGCGTCGGAGATTAATTCTCCGATGCCGTATCTACTATTTATTTATTTATTTTTTTAAATTCGAGTATACGGCGTCGGCGATATACGTCGCCGACGCCGTATACCATATATATATATATATATATATATATATATATATATATATATATATATATATATATATATGGTATACGGCGTCGGCGACGTATAACGCCGACGTCGTATCTCGTATTTATTTTTTATTTAATATACGGCATCGGCCATACCAAATAACCGACGTCATATGTATTTTTTTAAAAAATAAAAAATAATTTTAAATATTTAATGTCGGATTTTCAAAAAACCGACGTTATAATGTAGACGTTAAATCTGTTTTCTGTAGTAGTGACAGGACAACGTTGTACTAATGGTTTTGATTGGTAACTATAATGTTGAGAATATTCATCCATGGTCGATTGAATATTATATTCATGACAACATGTATGCTGAACTTAACTTGTTAAATGAATCATAAATATGAAAACAACAATTTATCACCCTCTTTTATTTGCAAGCATATTATTATTCTATTTATTTCTTAAATTTTTACGTAATAAGTAATATTATTTTATAAATAATTTCACTATAAAATGTTTATTATTACTAAAGTAGTCAAAAATTATTTTATGTTATTACATTACAACTAAAGAATAATTAGTAATGTTATCTAAGTACAAAATATTATGGTCATTATGTAATTATTACTAATTTCATTACTTTTATGATTCCTAATAATTAAACAATTATTTGTTATTCTTATTATTATACATTAGTTACAAATTATTGTTAATAACATTTAGCTTTCCAAATTATTATGCAATAATTACTACATACTAATTAACTAACTAGTATTCTTTATAAATGATTAAGAAATTAATGAGGTCAAAGGTACGCATATACTACCTTTTTTTCCTTATTGCTACAATGCTACAAAAAAAAAAAAAAAAAAAACAAAAAAAAAAAAAAACAAAAATTAGTCATCCATTTGGCGTATTACCCAGACTACAACTACAAACACGAATGTGTAATTTTTTTAATCCAAAATAATGTGTGAATAATTTGGAAGTATTATTGCACATGACAAAATACTACATCTATTTTATAATTTAAAAATTAAAATTTATTTATTATTACATCTATTTTATAATTTAAAAATTAAAATTTATTGATTTTTACTTATGAGAATGTAATTGTAGAGTTCATTATGAAAAAAAATATTATGATAAACTTGAGTCTTGACCCAAAAGAGACGTAGCAGTAACATAATGTTGAAGCTCAAAATAATATTCATAAACATAAACTTTAAAAAAATAAAAATAATTTTATCAGATATTAAACATTTTCAAAATAAATCTCAACACAACATCATTCTCTGGGGGTTTGTGTTGATCATGTGTCCAAACAAATTCATGTGGGGAAACAATACTCTGAACATAGGAACATATAGCAGTATCATCAAAATATTTTGATTCTTCTGAGAAATTATTGTCCAATTTGTTATTTTTCACATCATAAACTAATATTTCCCAGGAACCACAGAAGGAACTGCATATCAGCAGTTTAGTATTGCATTTGGAAAAGTATAATGAGGTTGTACCAAAACCAAAACTGAATATTTGAGAGGTGGAGACAGAGATAACAAAGTGGCTGACCCACGATTCCTTCACTCCATATTCCTTCATAACCAATACTTGTAATTTCTCTCCCCTTTCTTTTCCCTCGCTAGCCATGCAGAGACAACCGTCCATGATTCCCAGGCCAAGAACTTCACTTTTCCCTCCTTGCAGTTTAGGGGTGGGCAACTCTTTGAATTCATCGCTCTCCGCCTCAAAATAAATGATCTTTTCACATCTCCAAGTGATATTCCTAAAACCATTTACCCTTCAATGGAGGGTGTTGTGAAAGTTAACGCCGTCTCTAGCGGAGTATGCGTCATAAGGAAATGGAACCTTTTGCCACTCTTTGTTCTTGAGGCTGGCAACCACAACATTGCCGCCATCAAAGCCAAAGCGGAATAACAGAACAACCTTGTAATCTCCGGTGGACGAGACGTAACATAGCCCCGACACGACCTCCATAGGGATCGTGTTGTTCAAAAGTGGAAGATCAAGCACTTTTATGCAGCACCGAGTGGAGGGATTCCACAACAAAATATGTTTTCGCACGGAGAAAAGCACCAGCCCGTTGCAAGAGCACCAAACACCAGACCACCAACGATATAGCGGGGGAAACGTCGTCGTGTCAAGACTGACCTGGAATAGGGTTTTAATGCGGAGACTACTGTTGGTTATGGATGTAAAGGCTAAGCTGCTGCCGGACTCCGCCTCCGCCTCCGCCTCCGCCGCCGCAGCCAGCACTCGCCTTTGCCCGCGGTAGGAGAGCTTGAAATTGGGGTTTTGTATTGTGGAACGCCATTCTTTGCATACGCATTGACATCGGATGAGAACTTCTACCTTCAACTTCAAAAGTATCTGGCAAATGATATCAATTTGTACGTACATGGATGGATGTATATGGTGAATTGAGAAGCTAGCGGAGATGAGAGGAGTGGATGCGGCGTATTAGATTTGCTTTCTATGAGATGAATTATATAAGCGGCGCATTAGGTTTCGATTCGTGAGTATTGGATTGTGGGTAAATATTTAGGTAAGTTCTTTGTGGCATGGGGGTTTAAAAAAAAGTTTTTTTGTGGGAAAACTGTTTCAACTCAACCATCAATTTATATTATTGTACAGCGTAGGAACTGAACTCATAACCTTTACATTATTAAGTAAGATTATAACCATTCAATCACATTAACCTTTGTGAATAAATATGTATATTTATTTATATATAGATATGTATATATACATATATAACATATACACACATAAAATTAGATTTTACTAATTTTTAATATATAATTATAATTTATTTAATTTATATTTAATAATACTAATATATTTTGCATGTAATATATTTTTTTTATAATTATAATACTATTAAGTTATAAAGTTTATAAAATATATAATTTATTACTTTATATAATCTATATAATAAATAATAAATGAACTTTATATTAATATTTATATAAAAAGCTACAATTAATTGTATTAATTAATACTTGTAATAAATATAAATAAATAAATAAATTATATATATAATGCTTGTGAACGATGTAAATAGATATATAAAATTATATAAAAATATTTAATATGTGTTTTTAGCATAGTTGGCTTTAATATTGATACTTTACCTAAAAAGGTTAGGGGTTCAAGTCTTGTTAACAACAATATTTTCAAAGGTGGGGTGGTGATACGGGTTACACGACCCAATTATACAACAAATTTGAGGGTGCAAAGGTGGGGTGGGGATGAGCAATGTTGTTAGGTGCGGCGGCGCAGTGATCATAGTGTTGTGTGTTTTGTATTTGTAGATTCGTGTTGGTGCCAAGTTCAGGTGCGGCCGTGCCTTCTGGGCTCTGGCGCGGTCAGTGCGGCCGTACTAATAGTTATACAAATATACACCATCCATGTTAGAAAATGCACACAAAAAAAACATGCACAAATTAGGTACGCATCACCAGAACGCACCATTAGGTATGAATAAAAGCACCACATAGTGTTCGGAAATACTCCATTGGGGATGTTGAGTTATATGGTGTATTTTTTGGGTTTGTTGCGTGTTTTTTGGTGTATTTGTGCATTTCATTGTTGTGTTTTTCCTAACTCTATTGGTGCCTTTTGTTAACACTGTTGGTGTATTCTGTCATGCGACCGTTATAAATGGCCGGCCACTATAATTACCATAACACCCCCCACTTACCAAAATGCGTTTAGATCTTCAAATCTTCAGCCACTACCGTCAGATTAAACTGATTCAACGACAATAGATGCGACCGCACCGCCGCACCTAATGACACTACCGCATATGAACTCTAATATATATATATATATATATATATATATATATATATATATATATATATATATATATATATAAAGTTGTAGTGCTGCTGAATGCTTCCCGTGCGGTTGTGCGGGTGATTAATGTGCTCGAGTTTTGTACTTAATGTGCGTGAGTCTTGTTCTTAATGTGCGTGAGTCTTGTTCTTGATGTGCGTGAATGTGTAATGTTTAATGTTCGTGAGTTTTGTACTTAATGTGCGTGAGTCTTGTGCGTAATGTGCACGAGTTTTTTGCTTAATGTGCGTGAGTGTGCACTTAATGTGAGTTGTTGAAACTTTAAAGTGCATGAGTTTTATGCTTAATATGCGTAAGTTTTGTGCTTAATGTGCGTGAGTTGTATGCACATGATCCCTTCCCTATATATATATATGTGTGTGTGTGTGTGTGTGTGTGTGTGTGTGTGTGTTTGTGCAACTACGTATAACTATAGGTGCACCTACTTTCACCTATAAGTACATGTAATTTTGTCTTGTTAACATGCATTCACTTCCCGCACCCATTCATTCACCTGGGTGCACCTACTTATAACTATATGTGCAACTACTTATAACTATCGGTGCACCTACTTTCACCTATAAGTGCATATTATTTGTCTTGTTAACATTCACTTCCCGCAACCATTCATTTAGCTGGGTGCACCTACTTATAACTATAGGTGCAACTACTTATACCTACAGGTGCAACTACTTATACCTATAGATGCAACTACTTTTAACTATAGGTACACTTCGTATTGATGCTCAGTGTAAATTTTACTTGCACCTATAATACATTTTACTTGCACTTCGATGTTCAATTATTTACAAAAATGCCACCGCATTTTTTAATCCATTAGATCTGGACACGTGTTGCGCGCTAATTGGTTCGCATATTCCTTCCTGGGAGCTTCATTTGCACCTGAGTGCAATTACATATATATATATATATATATATATATATATATATATATATATATATATATATATATATATATATATATATATATATATATATATATATATATATATATAGAGAGAGAGAGAGAGAGAGAGAGAGAGAGAGAGAGAGTTAATTCTAGCAATAGTCCTCCGACTATTGTGATTTTCCAAATTTAGTCCTCATCTTTTAATTTGGACGAAATAAACTCTTGACTATCACCAGTCCCTCACGTTTTTAGGTTTAGCTGTGCGATGACCTTAAAAAGTAAAAAAAAGTCAAGCATCAAATCTCACGGGCCGCCTGGCCTTCCACCACTGATTGATCCGTCGAGCGCCCGGTCGGCGTTTCGTGTTTTTCCTTACTGATCACCGTTTCTTCTGACTAGTTCTACGAAACGGTACGGTTGCTATACCGCAATTATGACGACCCCTCAAATTTTGCCGGTTAGGGTTTCGAGATGCGCATTTCCGTAACCGTCTTTTCAAATGTTACGTCGCTCTTCCTCACCGTCCGATCAAGGACACGTGTCACGGTCTCGCCGGTCGTCTAAACCTATAACTATCCCAACTCTTCTTCCTCTTCTCCTCTTTGCACCTTTCGATTCTCGCACTCTTCCGGTGCTCTCTTCCCTTCTTAGAACTCAAGTTTCTTTCTTTTCCGGCGGTCGGTATCTTAGTCCAACGAACCAATTCCGTTCACCCCGGTCATCGTTTCCTTCTTAGTCAGGTTCTTCTCTGATATTCCTCTTTTATCTTTCTTTTCCCGCCGTTTATCCATGTCATCCTCATCTTCATCTTCGTCTTCCTCCGCCACGGGCGACCATCAGGGTTGGGTTGCAAGCCATTCTGCTACGTCTTTCGTGGCGGCGGCGGGAGACTTACCGAAGGCGGCTATCGCTGACCCCCCGATTGACAGGAAGTTGGGGTTTTTCGACGTCCTCTATTGGCCAGTGGGCCGTTGCTCCTCTCAACGTGAAGTCGGTTTTCTCCATGCCCAGTGGCTGCTTGGCACACCGGCCGTATTCCGTCGGCCTAGTGACCGATACTCCTAATGGGGCGTATGTGGGGATCTATTGCCAGCCAGTCCGGTGTGGTTTCCGGGTGCATCTTTCTCCCTTCATTTCTCCCTTACTCCATTATTATAGCATACTGCCTGGTCAACTGGCGCCCAACTCTTATTGCCAACTGATCGCCTTCCTCACGTACTGCCATCGTCTCAGTGTGGAGGCCACCCTTCCATTATTCTATCAACTCTTCTGCCTCACCGCGGTCGGCGCGGTTGCTTTGGGATACGTGTAGATACGTTCCCATGACACCCGAAAGTTCTAGGACAAGTTGGTCTCCTCCCACAAGGTCTAGAAGGAAGAGTTTTTCTTTGTCCGCCCGACCGACTATCTTTCGGCCTTCGATTTTACTCTGGTCTGGCAGACGTCGTACTATCGCCTTGAAGGAAGACCGACTTTCCCCGAGCACTTATGTAACACCCCTAAATTTTGAGATATTTAAAACTTATAAAATAAAGGCGAATCCATTGATTAAATCCCAAACTGGCATACAGCTATCCGTAAGTGTCGGGGTGCTATGCCACACCTAGGTTTGAGAACCTAGGTGCACAGGCTAAGCTAACCAAACATTAGAAATCCTCAAATCGATGTTCAATACAATCCCAAGGCACGCAGGCCAACTACTGAGCTAAGACTAACTAAGCTAAGTCAAAGGCTCTGACTAGCGCGCTCCGTAGCAAATGCTCAATACCTGAAAAACATTCGGTATAACAACCGTCAACGAATAATGCTGGTTGATGGACAATTTTAATAGTCCTCGCAAGTGCACGAGTCACTGTAGCAATAGTGTGCAAAGGCAATGGTCGATCCCACAGGGAATTGTACGATGCAATTTAATAACGACTGAACTTAGGAAATAATTGCATGAAAGGTTAAAGTATCAGAATAAATTGCCAAAGATAATGATCAATCTAAATACAAAATAATTGGATCAAAACTCAAGAAGCTAAATGAATGAATAATTGGGTCAAAACTTAAAAGGTGAACAAATAAATTAACAGGAAACAGAAATAACAATTAAATTGAAAAAGCCTAAGAACATAAATCAGAAACAATTACCAATTCTTCATCGCAAGTCTAAGACAACCGATTAAATAAATTAATACAAAATATTAATAATAAACAATTCACGTCCTTGAATTAAACAATTTAACAAAGCATTTGTTATAATCAGTACTTAAATTAATAATTTAATTAAAATGAGCAGCAATCACACTTCGAATTTGAGAGTAGATTAATTAAAACAAAGAGAATTGAAAGGCAAAAGTACTGTTGACAATTTAGATCAATTAAAATAGTTGCCAAAGCAAATTGAATATCTAACCAATTTCCAATGATACCAAATAAAGTTGAAATTAATTGCTGAAAAAAGGAATTGTGCCAATTGCTACTGCCGCCGACCGGAACTGCGGCGAACCACCGCCGGAAATCTCCGAAATTGATCCGGATGAATTGACGATCGGAATTAAGCTGCTCACTTTCTCCGGAATTAGTCCGGAGTGAAATTGATGATCTCCTCCTTCGATTTTGCACCCATCTTATACCCCTCGGCCTCACCATTCTTCCGGCGCTA